TGACTCCACCTTGTATTCTTTTGTGCCCCCAGAAAGTCAAATAAAGAAAACCACTATACCCTTTCATAACTACAGCAACATGAATGAAGATCTTAATATAAAGAAGGAAATAGTTTTCGGATACACTTCAAAAAATACATCACTGGAAAATGAAAGAAGTCAATTACATTACAGGAAAAAACGATTTTTATCGTATCCAAGATACGTGGAAGTTATGGTTACAGCTGATGCTAAAATGGTGCATCATCACGGACAGAATTTGCAGCACTACGTACTAACTCTGATGTCAATTGTAAGTAAGCCTAACAAGTTCCTTATATTTCCTGAAATGTTTGACATAATATTTTTCTCACATTTAATTAAAAAAAACAAGTTTCCCGAAACCATAGATGTAAGCGAGTTGTATCTAGCTTTAAGAAAAAAATAATTCATTGAGATTTAGTTTAGCTAGATGTATAGCAAGTATCCCATTCTGTTACCTGGACAACTTTCTAAAATATCTTAAAATATCTGAAACCAGTTTTAGAAAATGCTTGAATGATTTATGTCATCACTTGAATGGCTTCTGCCCCCAGTGACAGGGAAGATCTTAGTAGCATTGATATTTTTCCCTTTAAATCTGAATTTTAAAACTGGATCCTATTTTTCCACAGGGGGGAGGGGACATTATTTTTACTACTGATACAGTGGCCAAATCAGAAATTGGGATGCATGATATTTTAAGTTATAAATGTATTTGTGGGGATAAAAGGATAGGCTATTACTAATAGAGCTGCTGTAGCAAATTTGTGATGTAAAAATCACAGTAGCTGTAGGAGTCCCTTATCTGATATTTATATTTCTGTTGAACAGTGATGGTGCCAGTATCCATAGAACAGAATTGTAGTGCCGGTGAAGAGCACCAGTTCCGTGTTAGTGGTGGCACTCTATATGTGATAGATATATACACGCATATGTGTACATACATACATACACACTCCTATATCTACTGTCTGGGACATTCCTGGATTTAGGCCTGTTGTAATTAAAAGCCCCCCTCCCCCCTTTATACTCAGAAGTATCCTGGTTTAGCTGATGAATTATGTGGTCACCTATTTATACAGGTTCAGGGTATTGGAACATATTTCATGGCTGAAACACCTTTATTCACATATAGGGAATTCAGGCTTACTTGATTGAAAAGACTTGGCCAGGACACATCTTTAGGCCACTGTTAGTTATCCTTAGCTAGAAATCCCCAGATAAGCTCATTGTGACTTTAAAGATCCAAGACCCTGTTATTTTCCTTACACATAACATTTTATCTTAAATTCTTATAAGTGCTAAGTATGCATGATCTTTTTTGCCTAAACATAGTGTCTGGTACAAAGTGTCTGGCATTCAATGAATAGCTATTGAAAGAAAAAAATGTATAGGTAATTAAAGTAATGCTTTTTTCTTTCATAAAGCATAACATTGTAATGCTCAAAAAAAGATAATCCAAAATGATTTTCACAAGTTTGTGTAATATAGACACTTGTTTTATTCACTTAAATGGAATTTTTAAAACGAAAACAGAGCTATAGATAGAAATTTACCCTGATGACACTTTTTTACTTCTGAATCTGAGTAATTATCTAGATATGTAATTATCTAGGTGTGTAATGATCTAGATGTGGGTGTGGCATGCTCGTTATGAAGGGATTCTAATGAGAACACTGACATGAAGGATGTCAATTGATGTGTAGGAAATTGCATCAATTATATGGAACACTGTGGGATAAACTTTGCAATTTTAAATGGTTAAAGGAAATGATATTAAGAAAGTTGGGGTGGGGAGGTAGAGACAGTGAAGGAAAATACTAGATTTTATAAATGCAGCAGGTTTTGGAGCATGTTAAATGGTACATAACTCTGGTATCAGTGCTTTGGAATTACTGACTAGACGAAGTAAAGGAACACAAGAGTAACTTCCCAAGGGTAATTTTGGAATAGCTACATGCAGTTTTGGTGATAATGCCATCCTCAGAGAAGTTTTACTATCTGTATTTTACTTTAAAAAGCAATATAATGGTGGCTTAGAAGATACTGTAACATGCCTTGAGATAACTGAAGTTGTCCATGGGAGTTTTAGAGCTAGAGTTTATCAAGGGCAAAGCCAACTTTTTGACTTTGTGGAAGTAAATCTGCCACTGAGGTTGCTTGAAACAACAGACCAATGCATGCATATACCATTTCCTGGAGTCTAAGTCCCATTAGAAGGAGAACCAATGTCAAGTGAAGACAATATGTTTGTAGGTGCAGTCAGCCATTTTGTGTTAAGCTTTTATCTACAGGGAGACAGATACTGCAACAAAGTTGGAGAAGAGGAGAGCATTCCAAATATAGATGGGGTAACAGGAAAAATTTAGGAGGGCAAGTCTCTCTTTTGAGGTGATTTAGGTTTTGTATATGCTTTCTTTCCTCTTCAGAAGTAAAATTTCAGATGACCTCTAAATCACTTGGGTTTAAAGCTTTCTTTTTTTTTTTTTCTTTCATTGAAAGAATGTGCAGGTAAGAATATAGGAAAGTGAGCAGACTTGAGCGTTCTGTACATATATTGTTTTTTTTTATTAGTGAAAAATTGTGAACACAGGTATATTTGTAGACTTTCTAAGTCTTCTGTCTCTGGAAACCCTTCAGTCCTGAGCAACCTGGGACAGTTGGTCACACTACATAGAGATTATAACATCCAGTCCAGCTAGTTTTATCTCCACTTGTGAAGTCCATTCCCAAAATTGCTCTAAAGAGATAAGAGGAATGCTGTCTCCACCTAAGTGTCCCCAGATGTTTGTAGCTGCGAAAGGCATCAGTTCAAGTTTTGCATATTTTGTCCTAATTTTTAAGAAGACATTAACTGCATTTATTCAAACACACACTCAGGATATTGATAATGTTCTTGGTCATAGTAATTTAGGAAAGAGATAAGAAAATGTGATTTCGACTTAGAATATGATTGAGAGCCATTTAAAGAAAAGTTCAAAGTGATGAAAAAGAATTTCTGTGTGTTGAGCTTCACATGTAAGGAGGAAATTACTGAATGCTTTCAGCATTGAACAAATGAATTATATACATAATTTAGAGAGAAGATTATCCATTCTTACCCATCCTGCACAAAGTAAAAAATTAGTTGGGAAGAACGCAGTTGCTGTGTGCAGTATATTTAATGAAGTAAGTGTTTTACATGAGTGGAGATGTTCAATTATTTGCTATTAAAAGGCTTTTATCCTTAGAGAATTTAAGTGACATTTTAACATTAAAATGGCATTTACATATGCATTATTAAACTACCAAGGTATGTATAAACCAAGGCAATTACTTTCTTCAATAGATTTATTTTGATATTTGATGACTTTTTAATAAACCTTGAAAATATTTACTATGTCAGAGACATCCACAATCTATTGTGCTTACAAAGGTTTGACTTTATAATATTCATCTTGTTATAGATTTAATGTAAATTTAAGGAGCATCATTTGATACTCAGGAATCATCCCTATTTATTAAAACATATTTACTATTATGTAGAAGCATTTATGAACTAAAAATACTCACTTGCATTACATTGACTTAATATCATTGCTTCCAATTCTTTGAGTTGCTTTTACTGATGTTATTCAGGATAGGGAAAATTTTCAACCACACTAAAATATTAATGATTTACTTTCATACTTTATGACCATTTATGTTACATTTTCCTTTCTTCAACTCTGCATTCTGCTTATTCTTAATTCTTTGCATGTATTTACTTTGTACATATGTGGAATGTCATTTTTTAACTGCAAGACAGAAAGGTCTTTCTGGCAAGAGTAGTGATCTTTATAAACAAAATTCGTTCACTTGTTAAAATCAGTTTTTATAGATTACTTTGAAGGTAAAAGTGGTCAACAGGTATGAGCTTCCAGTTATAAGATAAATTAGTCCTGAGGATGTAAGGTACAGCATGGTGACTGTAATTAATAATACTGTATTGTATATTTGAAAGTTACTACTAAGTGTAGGTCTGAAAAGTTCTCATAAGAAAAAAACTTATAATTGTGTTGTGATAGATGTTACCTAAAATTACTGTGATAATCATTTTGCAATATATACATGTAGCAAATCATTATGTGGTATACCCCAAATTAATACAATGTTTAAAATTTTTTAAATGGCTAAATTACCTCAATTTAAAACATGATAAAAATTATAAACAAATGAAGGCAGCCTCTAATGTCACATAGTAATTTAGGAAAGATGTCACATGTGAACATTTGCTGAAACTCTGTAGAGAAATTATCTCAAAATGATTGGTCACTTAATGGTGATAGTAATTTTTTCATGATTTGATTGAAGTATATTTTGCCTGGAATTTTCCTGAAAATATTTAAACAATATAATTCATATAATTTCTTCACCTTTTGCTAAATATCTATGAAGTAATGCTTACTATTTTGAGACATGTAAAGAAATATGAACTCTATATGAGCACGCCAGGGAAACACGTTTAAAGAATAAAAGATTAAATACATTTTGAATCAACAAAAATTCTAATACTTAGCACTATAAAATATAGTGATTACAATAATATATGACAATATTACATGGCCTGATTCACAATTCAACTTAATTGAAGAGTTATTCAATAACATCACCTTTAAACATTCAAATACACTAAAAGGTACATATATTGAATATGAGCAGATTATAAAGGTCAATACATAAAGCAATAGAAGATGCATACAATTAAATGAGCAAGATGGCCTTCTTAATTAAAGAAACATCATTGTAATATAAAAATAAAATATCAATCTGAGGGAGTTTTGGGGGTGCATGTGTACAGAATTATTTAAATTGAACGATCTGTTTTTGTTTCTTTTACCCCCAAAAGGATGAGTCTTTTAGGGATATAGATCATGAATATCTCTGTATCTAGTAAGCAACACACAGAGTGCTTCACAGGCAGTAGATATATTCAGTAAATATTTTAAGAAATAATGACACTGATGCTCTTAGATCCTTTGCTTTACATTTGGGCGTGCTATGATAGCTAATTTGAAACACATGAACTAAAACTAACATTATGTATAACATAAGCCTTTTATTCTGAAAAAGTTTTCTAAGTAGTAATAACTACCATCGATCCTTGTGACCCAAACCCCGATCTAAATGCATCTTCTACACCATCTCATTTTACCTGCAGAGCAGCCTACTAAGTGGGTATTATCAAAAAGTGGCAGTCAGAATTTGAACCTGGGTCTGTTAAAGTTAGGGACTATGCTTTATACCATTACT